CACAAGCTGTTAGGAACTGTTCAAAAACACAACCAGGAGGAAAATATCTGCTGTGCTGGCTTCCACTAAAACACTAACATATTATTTATCTCACGTGTCCGAGTCATTTGGTATTCTGTGTCTTTATGCAACTCTCATTTGATTTAACTGGGTTTAATCAGGATATCTTTCTATCTAGTGCATAGTCTCAAAAACCTTTGTGCACTATAAAAAGGAGCCTACCAAGTTCACAATATTTGAAGCCAAAAATTCAAAGCATAGGTGCATTATCTTGGTTTGAATATTGAGATATTAGCAAATGGCCCATTCAACACATTCAGCGCTTCACAATGTAGGTAAGCTAGAAATCTGTACAACTGAGCAAATTGCAGAACAGTCACTATGTTGGTCTGTTACAGTACAAATAAAAAGGAAGTCCTGTGATATAGTTATAGCAAAACAGAGGATTGTCATCCTGTAGTTCAGGGGTCCTCAAACTACGGCCTGCAGGCCACATGTCGCCTGCCAAAGACATTTATCCGGCCCGCCAGGTGTTTTTGTCGCTGCTGCCTGTCCTGCTTAGCAGCCGACTTGTCCCAGGCCTGCAGTGCACATGTCTGGCCCTTCAATGGTCTGAGGGACAGTGAATTGGCCCCCTGTTTAAAAAGTTTGAGGACCCCTGCTGTAGTTCAACTGAATACACCAGAGTAGTCTAGCAAGGAATTCTATGCTTCTCAGACTACAAATTCCATTATTCCATATGATGGAACCACAGCAGTTAAAGTGGTATCAAATCACAATATCTAGGCAGTGAAGACAGTGGCATCACTAGGGTGTGTGGGGTGTGTGGACCACACCAGGTGACACCCTAAGGAGGGAGATGACACCACTACTCCTCAAACACCTACCTTTTGGCAGAAACGGACTGTGACATTCCCCTGCTTCCCTTTAAAATGCTTTAAGACAGGGGTAGGTAACCTTTTTGAGCTGGGGGCTGGGTTGCTGTCCCGCAGACAATTGGGG